TTTTTTTTTTTTTTAATGTATTGGTACAGGTCTCACTACACAACTTGGACTAGTAGTGATTCTCCTGTTTTCAGCCTCCTCAGTGCCGGGATTACAGACATGTGCCACCACACCTGGACTAGGTGTGCCTGGGGGCAAGGCCAGCACGGCATGCCAGACTGGGGATTGAACCCTGGCCCTTGTGCTTGCCTAAGCAGGCACTTAGTCTACTGAGCTATCTCACCAGCTCTTCTTTTCATATTTACTAATGATACCTCCATTTACTCTCTCTCTCTAGATATATACACATACACACCCAGGAGCCTTGTGCTTGCCAGGCAGGTACTTTTACCACCAAGCTATATCGTGACCCTATACCTTTTTTTCCTATTTAATCTATCTGTCTCTCTGTCTGTCTGTCTCTCTGTCTGTCTGTCTGTCTCTCTCTCTCTCTCTCTCTCTCTCTCTCTCTGTCTCTCTCTGTCTCTCTCTCTCTCTCTCTCTCTCTGGTATCGGGTCACACTAGAACTCATGTAGTGATCTTCCTGTCTCAGCCTCCCCAGCCTGGGATCACAGGCATGCATGACCATGCCTGGTTTTGAGGCCAGCACAGCACACTTGGGGTTCCAGGACTGGCAGCATGTAGTACCAGGGATCGTAACCTGGGTCCTTGCTCTTATCAGTCAGGCATTTAGACCACTGAGCTATTTCCTTAGCCCCTTTTTCTGTTTAAGAAGGAAGGAAAAGTAAATACCTTAGCATAGTTTGCTTACCAAGACTGAAAAAACCTCACAATTGATTTTTATTTACTGCTTAATTTACCTTTAGAACAAAGTCATGGCTTATCAAAAATTATAGATATAATTTCTTTTTCCTTAAATCAGTCATTTTACATAAACTTTTTCCTTGTTACAGATATTAAAAAATATTACTTGGTATTCAGAACGGGTTTTAACTGAAATTTCACTGGGGAGTCTCCTCATTCTGGTTGTAATAAGAACCATTCAATACAACATGACAAGGACAAGAGTAAGTATCCATAACTACTTTGCCATCTTTATGCAGACAATACAATCAAAACTATCCTTTAAAGAAATCTTAGCTTTTAGGGTACTTTGTTCTCATGAAAAATGATGGGAAAATACAGATCAACATGTAGTCATTGTATGTAGTATAGCATCCTGTTCTTGATAATGGATGTTCAAAGACATATGCATGATACAGAAAATAAGTACTGTGACATATTTAGATCTAGTTTATCATGTATCTTTGCTGAATTGATAGCACACTGGTTTACCTTTTAAAAGCAGCAATAGAGGGCCTGCAAGATAGCTCAGCGGTCCAAAGCGCCTGCTTAGGCAAGCTTAGGCAGGCGCATGGGACCACAGTCCAATCCCTGGCTCCACCTGCCATGCCAGTCCTGCCCTCAGGGCGGGCTGAACCAGCCAAAAAAAAAACCCACAACCACAGCAACAACCAAATATAATCAGTAATGAGCAGAAGAAAATATGTTTTCAGATGTGAAAACAAGGTAGGAGAGAGTGCTTTAAAGAGTAAAATGAAGGCAGGGGCAGGAGGCCTGGTTCTTTGCTAGAGTACCTGCCTAGTGCTCACAGTGCCCTGACTTCCACTCCTAGCACTGAGGGAAAACAAAGGCTGTACAAGAAAATGCTTTTATTTGATTCTAGTTATATTTCCTGAGAGCAGTTTGAATTCTGGTAATAGTGAAATGATGAACAAAATTCATATCCAAATATTCAAGTTTACTTCAGTATGGGCTCACGTAAATACATGTCCATATTTTTTAAAATCTGATGTCCATATTTTTTAAAATCTGATATCCTAGGAGCTAAATGTTCGTTATTGAGACAGGGTCTCATTATATAGTTTAGGCTGGCCTCAGACTCACTGTGTAACACAGGCTGGCCTTAAACTCACAACAAACCTCCTGCTTCCCTGTCCTAAGTAATTATAGGCATGTGCCATCAAGCCAGTTGAAACACGTTTTAGGATGGGGAATTTTTGTATTTTTAAAAATGTAATTATTGTGTGCATACTGTATATGTAACCAGTAGGTTTAAAGTGACACACTGTAATTAAATATTAATATCCTGCAGCAAACTAGTATTCACCATAGTGAGAATGATGAAGAGCATCAAGAGCATTGTAGAGGGCTGGCCAGATAGCTCAGTGGACTAAAGCACCTGCTTAAATAGATGCAGGGACAGGAGTTCGATCCCTGGCATGCCATGCCAGCCCCCTCTCTGGGGCATGCTGAGATGGAGAATGACACTGGGGGTGGTGGCGCCCGCCTGTAATCCCAGCACTTGAGCCGTTGAACACAGGAGGATGGCTATGAGTCCAATCTGTGTAGTGAGACCCTGTAAACCCTGTACTAAATACATTTTTTTAAAAAAGAGCATTGTAATGTTTTGTGTCATTCATTGCTTCAAATGAGTTATGAAAAGACTTTAATGGCTGTGTGCTTTACAGATTTGAGAACTAGAGAAAAGACATTGGAGACTCAAAGTATAAAATTACAGTCAAGTTTACATTTTCATCTAGTTTACATTGCTTAAAATATAGATGATGTGTGTTTCATACTTGGTGTTTTCTAACAGGACAAGTACCTTCACACAAATTGTTTGGCAGCTTTAGCAAATATGTCGGCACAGTTTCGTTCTCTCCATCAGTATGCTGCCCAGAGGATTATCAGGTAAAAATGAGCTTGAAAGAAATACTGATGTTTGCCTTCTAGCTGACCTTTTGAGAAAGATTCCATTTTAGTCCCTTTTAATGATTTATGGAAAAAATGTCAATTTTTTTCTAGTTAAGTTTTTTATTTCCTTCCTGTTAAGTTGAAAATACATTTTTCTATTATCTAAACCAATTTTTAATCAAAGTTAATGATTTGTATTTATGTATGCTGGCACTGGGGTGTGAACCCAGAGCCCTCATACTGAGCTCCATTCTTACTCCCCTTCCTTTTTTTGAGACAGGATCTCGGTGAATCAATACATTGCTCAGGCTAGGTTTAAACTTGTAATCCTCCTGCTTCAGACTCCCAGAGTGCTGGAGTTTCAGTGCCACCACACTTCATTTATTTTATTGTTTTTTTTATCTAGTTCTAGATCTTGTATGTTTTTTAAAAGAGAAACAGTTTTTTTCTGCTTTTCTTAGTAATGAAAACTAAATCTTAAAATATTTGGTGAGTATTGTCTAGAGCATCACACTATAAAGAGTTATATTTGCTTTAGAAAATTTTTTTCTTTCGTTTTTCTTTTCTCTCATGGCACTGTAGTTTGAACCCATGGCCTTTGCATGGTTAAAAAGTGCTCTACCACTGAGCTGCAAACCCAGCCCTGGCAATTCTTTTCATAGCAGTTTACTTTCATATTAATTTTCACTTGTCACCATAGGAAATTACCACAAATTAGTGGCTTAAGTCAACATAAAATTGTTATCTTACAGGTCTATAGATTTGAAGTCCAGTACAGGTCTTACCAGGGTGAAATCAAAGATCAGCAGGGCTGCATTTCCTTCTTGGTGTCCCAGAGGAGAAGCTGTCTTTCCTTTCTTGATGTTAGAGTCAGCCTTATTCCTTGGCTTTTGGTCTCTTCTTTATTTTTAAAGTCAGCAACTGTATTTTGTTGAATCTTTCTTATGTCCAATTATTCTTCTCCTGTAGTTCCACTTAGAGGACCTTTGTAATTACCTTGGCCCTGTCTGGGTCATCAGGGTGATCTCTCCATTCCTAGTTCTTTAACAGAATTGTATCTGCGAAGTTCCTTTTGCCAAATAATCTAACATTCACAAAAGGAGTATTAGGAGGTGGACATTCTGGGTGTATATTCTGTCTGCCACAGCTCTCAGCATCAGAAACCCCTCCTTATTTGTCTTTGTCAATGTCACGACAAAGTAAGAAAGCCAATTAATGAATCATGCATAATATCATTACAAGGATTTTTAACACATTCGTACTTTTTTGTTTTCTAGTAGGATGAACAAATTGTCTTAACAGACTGTAAGTTGAACATTTGCTGTCTAAATTAGTGCAGACATGTTTTATTCTTTAACTTTTTATACCAGTGTAGTTATTTATTATTATTATAATATTATTATTATTGGCACATTTTTGCAGTACGTATTGATCATGTTCATCACGGGGCCAATTCAATTTTGATTATTAGGTTTTTTTCCTAGTCATTGGTGCCAGTCCCAAACCTATATCACTTTTAAGCTTTGATTTCATGTTCTACCCAATTATTACTTGTTTATTGCTCTGTGCTCATTTTTAATAATTGATCAAAATTAATATTTGTTCTTTATCTTCATAATTCAGTAGAGGATATTTTGCAATGACTCACTACTGTTCCAATAGAATGTCTTTATGCATCCTATTGTATCAAGGATAGGTTGTACTTGAGAGATTGCCAAGTTGAATAACATGAACTTATGATTTAAAGTAGCAGTCTCTTCATATTCAGTCTCCTGGGTATTTGAAAAGCTTTTAATTTCCAAAAGGTATGTTTTATTTTGGCCTGATATAATTATTTCTGTGCTGCTTTGTGATCTTTTTCTATGTATAGATATTAAGTTTTACAATGGCTTCAGGAGGATTTCATTATAACATTAGTTTTTCCTCAATTGAAAAGGCCTGTTTAATATGAAAATGCCAGATAGATTGGTTCAGAATTTAAGTTCTGATAAAATGTACTAAAATTAAATTAAAAATTCTAAATGGAAGTGATGGAAAAACTACAAGTAAGAGCAGTGTGCCCAGTTTTCTGTATTTGATGCCCCAAATAGAAAACAAGGGCCAGCCAAATACCTCAGTGGATTAAAATACCTGCAAGCAGGCTCAGGGGCTGGAGTTGGTGATTGAGACTGGGCGTGGTGGCATGTGCATGTAATCCCAGCTCTTTTTTTAATCTCAGCTCTTGGGAGGCTGTAAACAGGCGGATCACTATGAGTCCAATCTAGTAGTGAGACCCTGAGCCTCCTGTAGACCCTTACCTAAAATACAAAAAAATAAATAAATACATAAACAAATAAAAGACAGAAAACACGCCAGTCATATTGAGGAAATAAGAAACATAATTTAGTTATATGAGAATATTTAGGTTAAGCTTATCAATAATGAATAGGACTTTGCTTTATTTTTATGGACCATTATTTAGCATCATCTAAAGAACTATTTTAAACCATGCAAGGAATATAAAAAACAGTAATAAAGATTACTGGGTTCAAATAACTTAGAGTTCAGTGGTAGGGATAAAACAAAGATCCTATCCTGTATATAAAATACAAAGATCTTATGAATCACAGAATGTAGTAAATAATATAATAAAATAAAAATTCCTATGATGGGGGTAAGAAATTGGTTCTGGAGTGGTCAGAAAACAGCACACTGAGAGATTAGACAAGGTGACTAGAGACTGGCCAGATGGCAAAAACACCAGCCACAGCCACCAAAACAAAACAACAGAGGCTGTAGTGATCAAGGATGGTTGCTGAGTAGAAAGTCACCAGTCCCATTTGGTTGACTTATACAACCTGTACAGGATTACAGATGAAAAACCTGAAGGAACTAGGGTCTTAATCTAGAGGGCTTAAGAGTTAGATTCAAAACTTAGCATAATGGAAAGAGGAGAGAGAAACAAAGGTCTGATTTTTAATAACAAGAAAGAGGAAAAAGTAAATGGACAAGCTACAAATAGATTTTAAAGAAATTTTAAGGTAGATTGCTAGTCATCCGTGTCATCAGATGATATTGATGTTTCTGCTTGTCACACTGGGGGAACCCAGTTCTGACAAGTTTCCAAGTGTTGCCAATACTTTTTGTCTAAGGACTTCATTTGAGTAACCAGTGTGGACCAGAGCATCCATGTCATCATGTCATCAAAGAGAAAGCAGAAAGGCTGAGTGTAGACCACTTTAGACTGTCACATCCATGCAACCAGCGATCCAAACACTAAAGGGTTTTCTGAGGCAAATTGAGTCCTGAAATCCAGGGTAGCCATGCTCTTGTTAACCATGTCATTTGCTGCTCCCCACCCTTTAGTCTGCCTACCTTTCAGTACAGTAGTGAAGATAGTGAAGTCTTTTAAAAAGTATTTTGTTTTCATCAACTTTTTGAGATAGGCATGAGTATGTTCAGCTATTATGATACATGATGTATCAAAATTATCTTGGGAAGTAAACATGAAAGGAAATCAAGAACTTGTGTCATTTGGCCTAGAACATTCTTTTTACATCTAATCCCTGATATTAAACTTATTTTAATTCAGTAAATACTTACCTAGTTTTACTGTATGCCTACCAAGGCTGAAGTTTTCTTTTATTATTTATTATTTCTTACCTTTTCATTTCAGGCTAACACTATTTGTTATACATATCTAGAAATTGTTTCAGTGATTTTATTTTTTAAACTAATTGAATTTCCATCTCATCTGTTATTCTTGTGGTCAGGAAGTAGGGAATTATCTGATACAAAGAACTGTAATGAATAGTTCAGCTCTGTCTCAAAATCTTAGTAAGTTACTTAATTTTTGTCTTCCATCTCTAAAATCAGATATGACATGTAGTTAATGTGTTCTGAGAATTGATAATGCCTTATGAAGCATTTTGTATCTCTGTTTTCTTTATTATAGTGTCATAAATTTTTTGAAATAATTTTAACTAAATATAGATTTGGATCATATCCATACAAAAGAATTTCTTGGTTTCCTTTATATTCCTGGATTCTGATTCCCTGTGCAAGCAATAATCAAATTTTCTATATTTCCCAAAAGGTAGAAAATGAAGCTCTCACTGAATGTACATAGAGGTTTTGGATAATAATGTGTTTCTTTTAGATCAGTAGATGAGAGCAATGGCCTTGTAGTATAAGTACTTCTCTTAAATGCATATGATTTCATTTTTAAGGGCATAATTAACCTTTTCCTGTCCAGTGCTTTGGCAGCAGACAGGTTCCAGTTTCTCTGTTGGTATAATCTTTGCTGATTTTTGTTTCATCTTGGCAGAACATGAACCAAGAAAAGGGGAATGTTTGCCTTCAAAAGGTGGCTTCCTGTGCTTCCTACTTTAAAGGCAGCTGAATGTTTTTCAGGAAATCCGTAATGGCTTACTTTTGCAATTTAGACTTTTCTCAAGCATTTACACTGAGAGCATTTAGACAGCTTGAAGTTGAAAACTTTTATGTTCCTACTTGAGGATTTCTAACTGTTCAATGAATTACTAGTGTCATGCAACAGTGTCTTGACCAACTTAATGGTACATGTACAGAATTTCCTAAGTCATTTAATTTCAATTTAGATTTCTGGCACACCCAGAATGTCAGTTTTTAAAGAAGTATACCATTTATCCAAATTTTGGTTTCTTGTAAGAAAAAACATTGTGGACAAAATTGCCATATAGGAAGTTAAAAGGATTTGCATAGAGGTTTATAGAATGTCATATCATATTGTGTAGGCGTGTTATTTATACTTTATCCTCTTAGCCATGCATTAAGCCTCTATTCCTGTTTACTACTCTGAAAGATCTGACATACTTACTGTACTTTTAAGTTAACAAATTAGGCTTTCTCAGTTTTGTTGATCCTGGTAGGAGACTCAGTACTGCTGGGCAAAAACAAAGAAGAATTCATTGCTGTCTTTTTACTATATATTTTGTTATAAATTATTACAACGGTACTAGGAATCAGAATATCATCAT